GGGGTGGCTTATACAAAGGGGGTGCTTATACATGGGGAAATACGGTATTTATCCTATTTCATGTTCCGACTTCCACCTTTCGCTTTCAACCATCAATAGAATCTATTCCACGTATCGTAGCATTCTGTTTCCCCTTTATTTTTTTTAGTTCTAGAGTTAATCTATCTAATTCTGTGCAAACCAGTATTTTCTTTATTATCTCTCTTTCTAGAGGTGTATTTTCATTCTTCCATTGCTGGGTGTATACCATTCTTGCTGCTGTCAGAATGTGTAGTATTAAATAAATTGACCCTTTGCTCTAGCCCTCTGTTGTAATTCCTAATAAAAAATAATTCTGGCTTGAATTCTAGAATGTTGTCCTCGAGCGCCTGAATTTTGATCACGTGATGGTTGTGTGGAAAATGGTCGCAAGTTGCTTTTTTCAGTGCCGTTATAACTTCAGTCACTACAGTAAGTGAACTGTTGTAAGTCGAGGGTTACCTGTACGAAAACCCCAAGAAGCACGTTTAAAACATGCCCAACTGACCCAGGGGTGCTCTTTAACTGGCCCACCCAACGCAGTAGAGAAGATTTCCCAGGGTGGGATACAAAAGCAACAAAGTCACAAAAATAGGTGAAGTCCCTTTAATTCCTTCAACTTGGCCTCCAATGTCCAACTATCATTGACTGGAGAAAAAACTCCCCCACAAACAGTTAAGAAAAGGAAGAAATGCCAGTTCAAACTCAAAATACAAATATATTATAAATAGAAAAAAAACAACACAAACCACACTGAAACAATTTATGAGACAAGGCAGGATAAGGACTTGAGGACGTCCACAAATATCAAAATACACACACACACAGGGGAGGACGCCAGAACTCAGATAAGAACTGACAGAACTAGAATTATTTCACGCTTCGCTTCCAGCACTGGGCCATGCGCAGTTTGTCCTTTGAAACAGTCCTCCCAGCTGCAGCCCATGAAGGGGATCAGGGCCTTTTCCTCACCCACAGACCATGCCATTCATATTTCTCCCTTATCAGCTCCTCCCTGCGTGCCTTAAGATGAAGAGGGGGTGGGCCTGGGTCTTTCTCTGAATGCCCAGCCGGCCTGTGCCCTTCCCCAGTTTCCTCTACAACCTCCCAATCCCTGTCAGCTGTTCCTCCTCTCCCTCGGAGTCAGATTCTAACAGGGGCATGACACTTCCTTTCTCTAAGGAAGAGTCTTTCCAGGCCCTGCCACCCACCCGGGATCTTCTCAACCAGCTACGTGCCAAAGCTGCAGCTGGTTTCATTCTCTGTGCAAAACATTGCGTTGTTAACAAACAACGGGGCTTTTCAGCACTGAGGCTGGAGGATTGATTTTAAGCCGTTGCACCCTAGGGCGTTCCCATTGTTGTGACTCTCTCAGTGTTGAGAGGCGAGGATCGGCTGCAACTTGCCAAAGTACGGAAGCAGTGAAATCCTTGAACCTGGACACCTGACCTTTCGAGTACAGGTAGAAGACCAAGGAAGCATCTTTGGATAGCACTACCTTAAGGGTCCTTGAAATAATAAACGGAATAGAGCTGGAAGGTACCTTGGAGGTCTTCTAGTCCAACCCCCTGCTTATGCAACAGACCCTGTACTACTTGAAACAAGTGCCTGTCCAGTCTCTTCTGAAAAGCTTCTTAAAAACCTGCAACTTCTGGTGGCAAGCCATTCCCCTGGTTAATTGTCCTCACTGATAGGAAGCTTCCCTTAATTCCGGGTTGCTTCTCAGGATTAGTGTCTATCCATCCTACCTACCATTATCCATCCATCCTTCCTTCTTTCCTCCCTCCCTCCCTTCCTTCGAATTCAGCCTTGGAGGCAAACTCTGCCCATAGCCAGGAGTTCGACCCTGACCAGCTCAAGGTTGACTCAGCCTTCCATCCTTCCAAGGTTAGTAAAATGAGGATCCAGATTGTTGGGGGCAAGAGGCTGACTGCTGAGAGGGCTGTAAAGCACCGTGAAGCGGTATGTATAGATTAAGTCCGAGAGCTCTTGCTAAACGCTATTCAGGGCTGCTTCGTACTGCAGGTCTGAAAATGGGATTCCAGAGAAGTGTTGACTCACCTATGACCCGGCATGCCTCCCGCTGAATCACACATTAACTATCTTGGTTCCATTCCAAAACTGAGCCATAAACTAGCTCGCCGCATTTCAAATCCAGGACGCGATGATTCAACTCTTAACCGGTGCTACATTCCTCACCCTGGAGCTTGGCAACGTTTCTATTGTCATAAAATCTTGTCATGAAACTCATGACAGCTGCAAGCAGCCAAAGTGACATTCCGGGGAAAAGATGATGCTGCTTTCTAAGAAGCTTCCAGAACGAGGAGGAAGAGGAAGAGGAGGAAGAGGAGGAGGAAGAAGAAAGCTCAACTGACAGGTTGTCAGTTTGATCCTGCAGATCAAGAGAGAGAGAATACGCTGGAGGGGCCAAAAAGTTTAGCAAACCTCTCAGAATTCCTCAAGGAACGTACCGATCCATCAGGATAGAGCTGGAAGGGACCTTGAAGGTCATCTAGTCCAAATTATGGGGTGTATAGGGAAGGGGGGGGGTGTCTCTCTCTCTCTCTCCTACTGGAATGTTTGCTTTGTTTTACCTGCGGCATGAAAGAAATATATTTAACAGTCTTTCTGAATGAAGCGGGATCTATTCCAAGAAGGAGCGTTTCTCTGCAGGCCTCGATTCGCCTTAAGCCCGAGACAAACAGAGCCTGCTTTGAAAGCAACTGGCCAAGTTTCCTGGAGGACTGGCAAAAACTTGGTTTATGGCATCCGACTCACAAGGAGGTCTTTCTGGGGAAAACGAAAACGAAAGCGTGGCTCTGTCGGGAAAGGAAGGTCACCCCACAGTCCATTTTATCAGTCTTTTGGACTTTTGCTGCTTGGTATTGTTTTCACAGTCATTTGTATGAAACGATCTAATTTCTCCTGCTTGGGCAGGGGGCTGGACTAGAAGGCCTCCAAGGCCCCTTCCAGCTCTATTCTTTTACTTCTACTTCACCACACTATAAAAAAGATGTTGAGACTCTAGAAAAAGTGCAGAGAAGAGCAACCAGGAGGATGAGGAGACTGGAGGCTAAAACATACGAAGAACGGTTGCAAGAATTGGGGCCTGGCTAGTCTAGGGAAGAGAAGGACCAGGGGAGACAGGAGAGCAGCCTTCCAATATTTGAGGGAGTGGGGTTGGACTAGATGATCTACAAGGTCCCTTCCAACTCTGATTATCTGTTATCTATTACTTCTACTTCTACTCTTCTATTTCTGTTCTATTCACTTTTGGGAGAAATGCAAGTCATCCAGAATCACTATACAGGTAGTCCTCAACTTACAACAGTCCATTTAGTGGCCAAAGTTACAACGGCCCTGAAAAAAGTGACTTAGGACCGTTTTTCACACTGACGACCATTGCAGCCTCCCTGTGATCACGTGATCAAAATTCAGCCCCATGGCCGCCGACTCGTCTTTATGACGGTCGTAGCGTCCCTGGGGGGGGGGTCACGCGATCCCCTTTTTGCGGCCTTCTGACGAGCAACGTCCAGGGGGAAGCCAGACTCGCTTAATGACCGTGTCACTAACTTAATAGCTGCGGAGATTCGCCTAACCACGGTGGCACGCAAAGTCATAAAATGGGGCACAATTCGCTTAACAAGCGGTCTCGCTTAGCCACATAAATGCTGGGTTCAATGACGGGTCATAAACCGAGGACTGCCTGTGCAGTAGAAGGAGCTCCTGATGGCATGAAATAAGATGAAATTAAGTACGACCCTGAGCCAAAATGGCAAAAGAAAAAGCAGAAAGTCGAAAGGATTGGCAGGAGAAAACTCTTAATGCAGAGGTCTCCAAACTTGGCAACTTTAATACTTGTGGACTTCAACTCCCAGGATCCCTCAACCAGCAAAGCTTACTCTCTTGTAATCCCTTCCTCTGCAATCTCTCCTCTTTGGGGGAATAAGAGAAAAAGAAACAGACACGGCTGGCGGAGGAATTCTGGGAGTTGAAA